TAGCCACTTCCCCTGAAACCCTTCCTTTAGCCATTAGCCCCTCCCCCTGAAACCCTTCCTTTAGCCATTAGCCACTTCCCCTGAAACCCTTCCTTTAGCCACTTCCCCTGAAACCCTTCCTTTAGCCACTTCCTCTGAAAATGAGTTGGCAATACTGCTCCCAGACAGTTCCGCGCTCTGACGTCACATAGCCCCCGAAACAACCCCTGGCAGTCCCTTTCTTTTCTTTTTAATTTCTCTTTCAAAAACAAACATACAGAGACACTTAACGTCAAACCGAACACAAATAAAAATGGGGGATACATATAACAAATATACATCATGGAGGTTAAAACATTACATTTTACAAATAACATTTTTTTTTATATGACAGACGTTTTTACACATTTCTTGTTCCTAGTGACTGAAATCAATGAGTCATAAAATATTTTAAGTTCTTTACAGAAAAACTTAAAAGAGGGAGTAATAGACTTTGTGCTTTATGTACACGGAACTGGCAGCCCCTTTCTGTCAAGACTGCAGCTGTGCACAGAGCCTATACAGGGGGTAGTACAAATGACATACTTGTATAACAAAATAACCTGTTTATTCTAGAAGTTTGTTTACATCTAGCTACCACAATTCCTTGCACTCAGGCAGTGGACGAATCTTGAGCGCGCGGGCGCAGCCTCCGATCCAGCGATTATAGGCGTTTTTGGACTTGTCTTTTCCACTTAATTTGACACTTTAGAAAGTTAATAGAGTGGGAAGTTGCCATTTAAGGTAAGCGATATCCTTATCCTTATCCTTAAAGAATATTTGAAATAATTTTGGTTTTTATTTGTTTTAATGGCAATATCTGGCAACACTGCATCGCCGGCACTGAAGCTGACAGTTATCAAAACAAGAGCCCATGGACATGTTATTGCTGACAGGATAGCACATTCGGTAAGGGAAACGCAAATAATATCATGATATTATCTATTAGAAACGTTATCAACGTTATCAAAAACAGTAGCATTTAACACTAGTACACAGATCTGTAGAACAAGTAGGTTACAGAATTAAATGAAATACGCAAACACTAGCCATGAAGAAGTCTGCTGTTTTATTCAGTAGTCCTTACATTTTCACAAAGTCATGCTAAAAACATCCATTAGAGCACTAGACAAAGTTATCATAGAGCAATGATTATTAATGAAAACTATAACAGTAATATGGATTGTTGCATGAATAATAAACAACTGATAAAATGATCCACCCCTAACATATAGTAAATATTAACAATGCAATAAATAGACTATGGCATAATTTTACAGTGTTCATCCTTTCAAAACAGAAAACATCTTTCTCAAACATCTACATCTCTGTCTCACCTCACAAATGTTCAAACCCTGGCTACGGCCATGAGGTAACAGAATGAGCATCCTCTGATGATTTGTCTCATGTGTGCTAAGTAGACCAAACAGTTATCTCTTATTTCATGCAGAATTAATAAAGTCATTGACACAGACTGCTATGACTTTGAGCCATCCAGTAAAACGCTCAAATCTGCAAAGCAAGCCACATCACAGAACAAGGAAAGTTTGTAAATGAACTGCATGCATAAGAGTTGCATTACCATTTATTTTAGCTTTTTTTTAAAGGGGGTGGGGGTGGTACTACCTCCCTGAAATGAGTGTTTGCGGGGTGGGATGTCTGCAGAATGCCATGGAGTATGGTATGTCAGCAAGGGAGCATCATCTTTTGTAATGTCACCTCTTCCCTTTGATGCACACAGCTGTTTCCTTTGCCTGCTGCACTGCTTTCCTACCGTAGGTGTGGTTAACGCATTTTTCTTTACACAAACCGAAGAT